CGAGGACAGAATAGATATGATACTAGACAACAAGGATGCGAAGAATATCTATGATGATGTGCTGGTGAATATAGGAAATTTGGAGGAATTAGTATGAGATCAGAGAGCAAAGTCCGATTCGACAATAGAAAAGGGATTAGAGGGATGATGTCATTATAGTAGCCAAACAAGGAGTAAAGTCAGATGAGGCGGATAGGACTTTCATGTATGTGGCATGTGACAGGCAAAGGGGGAAGAGGCAATACCAGTGTGATGCGGGTAGATAGAAATAATCAAACGGATACAAAGATGTGGAGACGAGGTTCAGAGCAATACCTGAAAGATGGAATGACCATGAATGTTAGGACGAAGGTGGTAAACGCATCTTGACCAACCACCGCGTGTTCTCATTAGGAGATCTTGATGGCACTGGATGCCGCATTCGTCCACAGAAATTCAGCACTGCATTGATTCGATGAGAAGTCTCACTCGGTCCGGCTACGAGGACTAGGGGTCACAGTCTCAATTTGGTTGAATTAAAATGCAGCAATCGTTCCCTTCCCATGTTCCCTTATTTCTTCGTATTCAACGCTGAGGGATTCGAGAAAAGAAGGAAATTGAGGACGTATAAGTGGTGAATGCGTCTTGTTCAACGCCGTCTAACGACCCCTTGCGTACGTCTCCCGCACGACCGCTTGATGTGAACCCGATCAGGGTTGGGGAGTTGTGACACCATCTCCTCATTTTCCGAATCTTGGAAGCGGGTACGCTTCGTGGGGCGTTCGTCCCTCTCCTTGTGCTCATCATCAGATTCAGCTCGGCGCCTTGTATGGTTTGGGCGCTCATAGATGTATCCCTCGTCGTCCTCTTCTACCTCAAGGCAAGGGGTTGGGATTGTTTGTGCTGTGGTGCCTCCTAAAGGGAGGCTTAGTCTAGTAGCCGCCCCTTGCTTTTCTGTGTTGTTGTGTGCGGAAAGGGATAACAAAGGGACACTGTCTTCGCGCTCATCCACTTTTGGTGGGTCCAAATCATCGAATTCTATGCTTGGAATGGGTCCAGAGGACCCACTCCAACCACGGCTGTGAGCAACGTGGCTACTGGAGATTATACTCCGACCCGACAGCGGAGATGGGGGTAGTGATTGGAAAGTTGAGCGGTATCGTACATAGGGTTGCCGTCGACTCAAATCGACTGACATCGACTCTATTCAAATGTCATTTTGCGCAATTCAGTAGTTTGACATTTGAATAGAGTCGATGTCAGTCGATTTGAGTCGACGGCAACCCTAATCGTACACTGGGGCAATTTCGGTGGACGTGGTCGGGCTCCGTAGCCACCTCCTCTTGGTTGATATCATCAATGTGAGATATCGACATTGCAGTCTCGGACTTGCGAGAGTGAGATCTGCCAGGAGTAATCATTGTTAATGGGATCATCTGTGGATGTACCAGGGACGCACCGTATATGTGGACCCGGCCGCTCTGCATCATCCATCTCCAGTACTGACCTTGTCCTATCCTCCCCACGATATGTAGCCTCGGATGACGCGTCATCCCGGTCATCATTCAGCCTACCATCCTCTATTGGGGGGCAAATGGACATTGGTAGATCTGAATCCACCGAGTGAGCGTCTTCATCTTCCATATGGCCACTCTCTATATCGTCTGATTGTATAGTCTCATCGACATCACCATGTGTGCCATGGGCACTGGACTCGCCGATCTGTACGTCCATACCAACCGGCTGGTGGTCAACTTGTTGGTGGCTAGGAACCGAGGCACTAACTCTCGAAACGAGGCTGCTAGTAGTATGGGAGGAGTGGAACCGTAGATTTACAGGGGATGTGCTGGCTAGAGTAGGTGCCACCGTCTGGGCTGGACCGGATGATGGCTGGAGTGCAGCCCGCACGTCCTGTGCCCATGCTGCAAGATATTCTTCACGGCTGAGAGACGAATAGGACATATTGACACTGTTGTACGGTGGTAAAGACGTTGGAAGAGTAAAAGGAAGGAGGGGAAGGGGGTGAAGTCCAGCCCGGTGAGTGGGGTCCTCTTAAAGGCTTCGCCAGCCACGTGATCCACAGCCGTAAACCTTACCTTTCTGCTCTTACGATTGTTCTCTGGTCACCCCAACCCTCTCATTCATGATGACTTCCTCGTCTTATCCATATACCGCAACTTTTGAAGTTGGTTCAGCCCACTT